TTACCCAACACACACTTTCACTGACAGACACACACACACACACATTCACTGACACCCTCACACAGATTTTATCATATACTTACAATTTTTTTTTAATTTACATTTAAATCCACCCAGCCTCCCTACCTTTGCGAGAACTGCAGTGGACTCTCTCCCTGTGGTCGATTGTGGATCCTTTCACTGCTGTCGGCTGGGTGTGTGAACAATGGAGGCAATGAGGGAGCTGTAATCTTACATAGTTACACGTGAGACATTTAGTGATGCCAGGGCCGGAGTGACTTCAAATTCTGACTCCTGGCATCACAGCAGCGTGCTCGAGGGTGTAGAGTAAGAAGAGCACAGAGGACTGCTCTCCCACACCGCACACCTACAATAAACATGGCCGCCACCTTCAGGGGGGGGCTAAGGTGGCCAGCTGACCACCTCTAGGGCCCTCGCATAACCTAAGGTTAACAAGGCATCTGCTGGGGCGTCTAGGTGGCAGTGTTTTTTGCCGCCCCCCTTTAAAGTGCCAACCAAGGCAAATGCCTTGTTAGTCTTGCGGTAAATACAGCACTGGGCACAGGCAGCATGGGGGAGAGCAAGGAGAGAGCTGCTCAAGCCAGCCACACACTCCTATCAGCCTTAGCCAGAAGCAGTACTTCAGGCAAGCCACCCTCCTGCACATGAAAGGTATGTGTCTTTGTTTATCAGGGTGTGTGTATCTGTGTATGTGTCAGTGAGTATATCTGTGTATGTGTCAGAGTGTGTATCTGTGTAGGAGGTCTATGTGTATCTGTATGTCAGTCTGTATGTATTTGTGTATGTGTCAGTATGCGTATCTGTGTGTCAGTGTATGTATATGTGTGTCTCTAAGTATTTTTGTATGTGTCAATGTGTGTATCTGTGTGTGTCAATGTGTATGTGTATCGGTGCAAGTATGTATGTATGTGGCAGTGAATGTGTATATGTGCAAACATTCCAGCAATCGAATGGCAAAACTACATGCCATCACAACCTTGCAATCAAATGCCAACACTACATGCAAACACAACCTTGCAATCAAATGCCAACACTACATGCAAACACAACCTTGAAATCAAAGGCAAACATTACATACAAACACACCCCTGCAGTCAAACACTACAATGATATATACATACATCCCTTCATTCAAACACTAACACTACACACAAATGTAAACCCACATTTAACTGCCAACATTACATACAAACACTCCTCTGTATTAAAATCACAACATTATACACAAACACCCTTTCTTTCAAACACCAACACTACACACAAAAGTACGCCTGCATTTAAAACCCAACACTACCTATAAACATATCCCTGCATTCAAACACCCCTGCATTCAAGAAGCACTACGCTGCATTCCATTATCAACGCTACATACAAATACGCCCCTACATGCACACACACATACGTCACACAAAAAAAAATTGTTCAAATGCATCTCTACAAGGATGGGCAAATTATTGATCCCCAGCTGTCACATTATCGTGGGAGTTGTTAGACAGATGGGGATCTACTGTTTAACCTACCTTACACTAGAGGGCCTCTCAAACAATTCCCTTGCACTGGGGCCGCCACTGAATACACTCATTTTGTAAACTTTCTCTATTCCTTCACTATTTTCTTCAGATTTCAGTTATTATTATTATTTCATTTATTATTTCAGTTGTCTCCCTGGTCATCTGTACCATAATCTTATTCTCAATCTTTAATATCCATATAATATGTTGTTTTTTTAAATTATGGAATATCTGTGCAGCTATTCTGCATGATATAACAGGATCAGGGGAACAAGTTTAACCTCTACATAAAACCTTAATAGGTGGGTGGATGGATAGACAGATAGATCGAAATATAGAATGAAAGATCAAAATCAATGTATCATTTTACCTCTTTATATTTCAGTGATAAGAGCTTACCTTGAATATATATTTATTAAAAAAAAAAATTTCTTCAACTGTTTTTTTTTTCATTTAAAGAATAATAATATAGATTAGAATAAAAGAAAATATAAATATGATGGTGCCCATCATCTTAGAACTCATTACTTGCAAGCATTTGTCTACATGACCTTGTAGTGTACATTTGTATCAGCATGTATAGCGCAAACATATACTGCAGTGATTTACATTTATATATACATAGCCACCAGTATCTAACAGACAAAATAATGTTTGCAGGCAGAAGGAGTGAATAAGTTTACAATCTTCGAGGAACTAGGGATAAAGGAAGATGAGAGAGAATATTCCAGAGTTAAGGAAAGGCTGATGGATAAGGTAAGGAGGCTGGGTGGGCTTAAATAAAATTAATTTGCAAGTGTGTGTGTGAGAGAATATGTATATTCGTGTCAAATCAGTAATAGTGTGTACCTGCCATTTAGTGTGTGTGTCAGTGTGTGTCTGTAAGTGAGAATGTGTATGTCAGTGAAACTGTGAAAAATTAAAAAAAATATCAAGTCACTAAATGGTAAATATAAAAACAAAAAAACAATATATAAACAATAGTAGCAACCTTACAAAGTGCAATACCTCAAACAACAAATAATAAGGTTCCTCCTCCTACCCAAGAGCTGTCTCGGACATCCACATCTCCTCACAACGCATTCCCACATGGCTATGGGAATGCCAGCGGTCTCATACTTACCCCTCATAGAGTGCTGCTCAGATCTCCACAGTGTTGGAGCCGGCGGGTGTACACCATGCCGCCTCCCTTTGAGTTGGAAAAAAGTATTATAGACACTGGCTGTTGCATACCAGAGCATTTTAGTTTTTTTCTGTTTTTTTATTTGTTTATTTATTTGTGGAGCATTAGGATTTTTCTGACAATAGCTGGTTTAGAGAATTTGTCCAGGCCAGCTGTTTTATCCTTAAATTCAAAATTCACTTTGGATTCTCACTTTGTGATGTAGATTGGATTAGCTATCTGAGTCTAGTAGACAACTTGACAAAATACCAGAGTATCATTTCATACTGCAATACTCTGGTATTTTGTGAACTTGTCTACTGGACTAAGATGGCTAATCCAATCTACATTATACACACACATGCACATATAACATATATAAACTATCCTAGACTTAAGATAAGGCCAGGGACTAATGAAAGTATTTAGAAAATTGGACAGACAATATGGGCCGAATGGTTCTTATCTGCCATCACATTCTATGTTTCTATGAGGATATCGCACACGGTGGATTTTAAGAAATTACAAAAAATGTGGATGTTTGTTACTTTATTGTTTGGCTTCAAACAGTAGTCATTCATTAGATTAGATTAGATTTATTAAACAATGCTATTGCACACAGATCCTTGATGCACAGTCAGATGCACAGAGTTCTATAAAACCATTACAGTTGTATGTTAACCGAACCAGTTAGTTTGGAAAGATTTTTGAAGAAGAGGGGTACCCAAAAGATGGATCCCCAGAAGTTTGAAAACTACAGCTTCCATGATGCCTTGTCATTCTAAAGACATGCAAAGCATCATGGGAGTTGTAGTTCTACAACATCTGGGACTCTACCTTTTGGGCACCCCTGTTGTAGAAGATTGTATAGGAGGTATAAAGAATGGGAAAGACGGGCACACCTACCGCAAAGCGCATCGTAGTGACTTCACTCTTCCGGAAGTGAGAGAAGGCGCTTACATAGAACGTCAGTGTATACGAGTTCTATGCTTGATACGCTGTTACAGGGACTTGGATGCGGTTGTAAAGTTCTAAGACTATTAGATACTGTGTATCCAATTGTTTGGTTACTTAGCTACAATAACAGGCTGCACTATAGACACCCGATACCTCTATCAGATATATGCAAGCATGGCGCTTCTTATTGATAGAAGATGTATATATAGAGGGTGTAAGTAGGTGTATCCCCAAAACCTATACAATAAGAATACAAACAACCACAGTGTGCAAAAACACAAAGTAATGTGCACCCTCCAAAACAAACAAAAGATAAGATACTTATGTGTACAATGTTGATTGCAAGTAGATATCAGCAATGCCCAGAAAAAAATATAGCACATAGTGTGTACTGTAAAACAATAGGAAATTATGTATGATAAATGGTTGAATTCACGAATTCTAGAGCCATCCTAGGCTCTCTATAATATGCCCATTGGTTTGTTTGGCAGCCATCTTGAAGGTGCCGCGTAACCTGCGGGTTTTCTCCGTTCAGGCTTTGTTGTGCAGGCTTAGTGGACCCAGGAGGGGACCGAGATAACCCCCATCGGTCCTAAAGGGGATTGGGGGGGGTTACGGGGTAGTTGGCAGACCCCATGTGTTGCAGCATTGCGCTGAGTGGATGAACGCCCGCTTCACCCGTCCCACAGCTGGTGAGTTGTTTGTGGCGAGCTGGCTGTCAGTAAATCAGTCAGAGTTTGTGGATCAAGCTGGGAGCTCACTCGATGAACAGCCAGCCGCCATGATGCCCAGGCCTCCTCTCTCTTTTGTTTGTTTTGGAGGGTGCACGTTACTTCGTGTTTTTGCACATTGTGGTTGTTTGTATTCTTACCCGATACCTCTATATTTTGCACATTACACTCACATTTACTATATAAGGTTGGTCATTGAGTTTATGTTATTGCACTGTATGTATTTTATTATTTTATTATTTTTTTGGGAACAATAGGTTGGTTGTATGAATAAACACTTTAAAGGGTATTGTGCACCATATTTATCAACATGCTTCAAATATCACCTTTATACTGATGACTCTCAGATCTACCTCTCCACCCCAATCTCTCTCTCCTTTCTCGTGTCAATGGCTGTTTATCTGCAATTACTTCCTCCTGAAATTGTTTATCAATCTTTTTTTTTCTAGGATGTGTTGTACCTCTGTTTTTACACTTGTAATAATTGTATCCCTGTACAGCATTGCAGAATGTGTTGGCGCTATATAAAAAAAGCTCATAATAATAATGATATATATATTTTTAAATTCTTTATTTTTGTTGTGCATGATAAGATTGCACAATGTGCACAGGCGAATAGCAAAGAATTGGTTTGTCAGATACAGGAAGTGCACATATAAATCAGCACATTTTTTTTATAATAAATAAAAGACAAGAAGAATCTAGTGCAAGTTTAAGTACTAGTTGCCAGTAGGCTTAAGCAGAGTCTATGCACCAAGAGTGAGTAGAAAGTGGTTAACTGTAGAGGTTACAGGTAGTTTAACTAAGAACCCCGAGGAGGTAAACCTGGACCCAGCTCTGGGGTCAGCATACGCCTGCAGGGGACCAGCACAGACCCCCAGGGAAGTCTCGATTGTAAGCCCCAAAGTCCTTCAGAGTAGATGTATTCAGCCACTGCGTTGCAATTGAGTATGATCCCTGTCGGCATCTGGGGCCCCCTTGGCTCTGGGGCCCCCTGTCTCTAGGCTCAGTGTGGCCAGAACTCCAGTCTTATTGCTTGAACTGCCTGCTCAACGATGGGTCCCGCACTACAGCTGCGCGCCTTTCTTTAATACATGCCGCCTTCTTCTTGCACCGGCATAACATGCAGGCTCTCCGTATCTGTCAAATTCCCCAGTACAGCGGGTCCCAGGGACGTTATCAGCCTCGCCCAGAAGAACTAAAACAATTCAAGGAAGCGAGGCAGGACTTCAGGTGAATCAGTATAGCACTCAGCATCCGGCATCTTGTACAGGCTGGAGTGTCGTTTGGGTGTTCTGCAGGGAAGCCACGCACCTGCAGCAGTGTAGGGGAGCCCTCCAAAGGGGAGACCATGATCACGCTCACCGGTCCAGGGGGGGAAATGGGGCACCAGTCGTCAGTGCAGGTCAGAAGCAGATATCGTCCGCTTCTCCACTCCCCTGGACTCATTAGGCCACCAAGTCTGCTCTCTGTTTATCAGCAGCGCGGACGTCTGGGGACATCAATTACGCTCCGGTATTACCCCGATTGGTTTGGGAGATTAGTAAGGGTCGTCGATGAGGGTGTAATTTATAGTAAAAGCTGTTTTTAGGAGAGTGTGTACCAGAGCTCAAACAAGGTGCGTCTGTCCGGCATTACAGGCATGCCTTGCCCTATTAGAAAATTTCATTATGGACCACGTCTAGGATTCACCCCAATCAGCCATCCAATCAAAGTCCCTGAATGCTTTGTTCTCTTCCAGCGTTGGTTGTCTTTGACTCTGTGGGGGAGTCAGAATAGGCTCTTTTGTGGTAAATATCTCCTGGAAATTGCTGACGTCTTCAATTCCCTTAATTTCTGGCACAAAAGGAGGTGTCACGTTCTTTAATAACAATGCCGCCCAGTCTATGTCCTGCAAAGGAATGTGCATCATTGTATAAATCAGTAAAATATAAAATATAACAGAACAGAAAATATTCCCCAAAACCTGCATTCTGTACAGACTGCAAAGGGATCCATTGTAGTGGTTATGGTGCCAGGGTTCCATTGCATCTGACTATTGTAAATGGTCAAACTGTTTGTGAATTATTTGACAACTTAACCGGGATCCTCTGCAGCCTCGAAGCTCCCAGGTATCTTGGTGGTGCCTGGATGTGCTGATTGGTTGAGAACACTCAGCTGATGCTCCTACCAATGAGCTAGCCTGCGAACAGCACAAGGTGGACCCCAGGTAGGCTGTCAAACCATTCACAAGTGGGAGCGTGCCAGCAGGCTGCAGTGGTTATGGTTCTTGCAGTGTTCCTTTAAATCAGCGGATTGGAAAGATATTTTTCTAAAGACTAGTGAGGCTTACATTAAATATGGGGATCACATCTGTGACCAAACATAATTTTTTTAGAATCTGCCTGTTCACTTTTACTGGCGAGGTGGTTGGTAGTTTGGGAGCTGGTGGGATAGTAATCTGTTAAAGTGACAGTGTCATGTTTCAGTTGGTGAGATTCCCTCTTTTCTTGATCCAGTAAGTTCTGGTGATGTGTTTATGAAGGTAAAGTTTGCTGCACAGAGTGATAACACACTTATTGCTTCTGCAGGTTCTAGGAGGTTATCAGAGCTGGGCAGAGTTTATTATAATTCTTGAGTGAATGTAAATGCAGGAACTAATAGAACATTGCACATTTTCCAAACACACAACTTACATATTTTGTTTATTTAGCTGTAAGGATGTATCTTTCCCTCCTAAATGACAATTCTACTTAAAAAGGGGCTCTGCCACCTTCGGGGTCGCTGCATATTTGTTGACATCCCAATTTGGAAAGTGGAAATCGAGAAAATGTTACAATAGAAACTCTGGATTTTTTCAGCCTAACTTGACCAGTAGTAGTCCTTACTTCACTTTCTATGATCTTGTGGCTATGTTTGAATTTCAGTATAATTTAAATAATGATCATTCACTTAAAGGAACACTATAGGTTCAGAAATACAAACATGTATTCCTGACCCTATAATGTTAAAACCACCATCTAGCCCTCCTGGAATCCCCTTGCCACCCTAAATATAGTAAAAATCATACTTTTATTCCAGTCTGTTGCTGCTGGCTCTGCCCCTGATCTGCCTGCTCAGCTGACATCATCAGAAGTGATTCTCTCAGCCAATAACAATGCTTTCTAATTGGATTGGCTATGACTGTCAAGGAGGCAGATCAGAGGCAGAGCCAGCACAAGCCAACCACAATCCTGGCCAATCAGCATCTCCTCATAGAGCTGCATTGTATCAAAAAAGTTCAATGTCTCCATGCAGAGGGTGTCTCTATGCAGAGGGTGGAGACACTGAAAGGCAATGCCCTAGGAAGCACCTCTAGTAGCCAAATGAGTAGTGGCCACTGGAGGTATCCCTATGCTGTAATGTAAACACTGCATTTTCTCTGCAAAAAAAATGAAGGGAATGATTCTACTCACCAGAACAAATACAATAAGCTGTAGTTATTCTGGTGACTATAATGTCCCTTTAATACATTTCTGGTGACAGAGCTACTTTAAATAAAAATAAATACCACGTTCTACTTGAAATGTACGTACTTTGAAGAAGGGATGTTTTTTGACGTCTTGTGCATCTTTCTTGCCGGCTCCTAGACGTTTAGTTTGATCTTTTTTCAGAAGCTGTAAGAGGGATTTAATTTAAATAGGTATTGCTAATTTAAATGATAAACATCAGACCTGCACGTATTTTCCTGGAAGGTACACATGCATGTCTTTATCATCTCACACTGGATACATTAATGCAGAATACAATAAACAGTTGTATTAGCCAACCATTAGTTGATATTGCCTTTGTAACTTTGAGACCAGTGAAGTGTTGTATGATGAGAACTAGCATTGCGGAGTATCACAGTTACAATGACACGGGGGAAGAAGCAGGGCTCGAGTCCTGCAGGAACGCGTGGGAACTGTGTTCCTGCACTTTTTTTGAGCAGGAACTCCGTTCCCGCTGTTGCTGCAGGCACTCAGGGGGCGGCAAAAAATTCCGCCCCCAAATGCCCCCCTAATGGCCACCTGATGGAACACCCCGGCGGGTGGCTGTCTCCAAATCAGACACGGCGAGGGAGCTGTGTCCTCTCTGCTTCCTCTCGCCACGCGCCATTTGCTGATGCAGGGAGCCGGAATATGACGACGGGAGAGTTCCCTCACTTTATTCCCCAGGACTTGTCCCCTGGGAAGAAGTGATGGGAAAGTGATATAGTGGAAGGAAGGTAGGGAGCAATTTGAGTTGTAGATCTGGTGAGAGCGACATTGACAGAAAGTGAATGGGGCAAGTGACATGGGCAAGCAGATAGTGGATAGGGCAAGTGACATGAGGGAGTGACATGCCAAGGAATAAGTGCATAAGGCAATTGCAATAAAGAGTGACTGACTTCCCACTCATCAATGGTAAATGGGCGGTTTGAGCTTGGCTCATGTGATCTATTACATTTATTAATCGCTAACCATGCTTGGCGACTTACCTGATCTATTATTGAAGTGGCGTTTGTGGACAGAGATTCTTTATATGTGAATTTCCCGTGGATGATGTTAGCAGTCAACTTGTTATCACGGTCGCTGAAGGGGAACTGAAGAAAAAATACATTTAAAATACTCAATTTTAATTTGTAAAGTTGTAAAATGCAGGCATCAACAAATGCGCAATAAATGAATAGTTTGGGGTTTTAATTTAAAGGACCACTATAGTGCCAGGAAAACATACTCGTTTTCCTGGCCCTATAGTGCCCTGAGGGTGCCCCCTCCCACCGGGCTCTGGGGAGAGGAAGGGGTTAAACTTACCTCTTTCTCCAGCGCCAGGCGGGGAGGTCTCCTCCTCCTCTTCGGCTGAATGCGCATGCGCGGCAAGAGAGGCGCGCGCATTCAGCCAGTCTCATAGGAAAGCATTCACAATGCTTTCCTATGGACGCTGGCGTCTTCTCACTGTGAAAATCACAGTGAGAAGCATGCAAGCGCCTGAAACTGCTATGTTTACAGCAGGCAGGGTTAACCCTAGATGGACCTGGCACCCAGACCACTTCATTAAGCTGAAGTGGTCTGGGTGCCTATAGTGGTCCTTTAATGTTGGTAGTACAGATGACACAATGTGCAAATCAGAACACATCAAAAGGTGTGTGGCGTGAGCATGTGAAAGCATACTGTGTGCAAGAGAACTGAAATATTATTATATTCCTCATCAGGGGGACCGCGAGGGTGTGGAAATACCTGAGAATGCTGTGTGATTGGCTGGATTTTTTAATACACTCAACAATTCTAATGCCAGCAGGGAATTTCCATTTTTAAAGGGCTGGAAGGCCTATGTTATATTTCATTTTCTATTGGGAGTTTGATCTATTTCTAATTTTAATATAGTGTATTTCATTTTGGTTTTGTACGGTTACATTGGGTTATGATGGCTTTTTTATTTTTGGACAGAGACACTAACATCAATAAGAAAGGCTTCGAGAAGTAAGTATGGGTGTTGGTTTTTGGATTAAGGCCAGAGATACTAGATACCTGGCATTCACAAAGAATCAGTATACACAGGGTTACATGGGATGTAAGCACACAGCTATCTACCAGCCACCAGAGCACTAAGTAACTGTACCAGGGGCTTTGCAGAACATTTTGAATTTTGGAAACAAATCACGGAGTGGGGGTGTTTGGCAGACAAATGTTTATGTTTTCAGGCATTAATTGCAGTTTTGTGATACCAATTAGCAATTTAGCTGCCTGGGATCTATTTTGAGGATTATTATGCAGGAGGATGTCAGGATGTCACAATGGGAGGACAAGGGACAACATCTTGATATTGAATGGTTTAATGTTAAAAACGAAACTTGGCAAAGTCTCTTTACATTTTCAAAACATAAACCTGTCTGGAAATTCTTACTGAAATCCCGTTCTTACCTTTCTATTTAGCATTATATAAATGACAACACCGAGGCTCCACCAGTCCACCGCCTTGGTGTATGGAGTTGACATCAAGATCTCAGGAGCCATATAGTAACGTGTTCCGCAAAGCCCATTGATTGTGTCTCCGTATCCAATACCTCGCAAATAAATAGAATAGATTGTATAATTATTTGAAGAGAGAGGTTCAATTTTAGCGAATTGTATTAAGTATGACTTTCAGTTACATATTTTTGATGCTGAAACTTTTCATATTATTGCCTTTCGAATCTAGATTTATTAGTGTAAAGGGGAAACATCACATTATCTCAGTGGCACCATTGTGGCTTTAGGTATGAGAGGTGCTCCACTTTTTGTCAGAATGCTCAAATTTAGTTTGACAAAAGAACAAGCAGATTAACTTTATGCCTTTTAAGAATCAGAGAGACTGATCTGTAATCCTAATTGAACATGCTAAAGGGTTAGCCTGAGGAAGATGACGGTGATATATGTTTTTGTACTGGATCTAATATTTCAATAAGAATAATAGTGAATAGCATTTGCTGCGCTTTTAACTTTTGCAGCAAACATGCCTGATCTAGGAGGGGTCTTTCGTACTATTCAGTGAACTTTGAATTCACTCCATTAACCTTTACCCAGCAGGAGTTTATGGGATACTGTCAGACACGCCTGTCCATAAGAGTGACCGCAGGGGTGTAAAAATCTTTGTACAAGCGACTAAAGCAGTAGCCCAATCTCCTTCTCCTGACACTGACTGACAATTTTAATTAGAAATATTTGGATTCCTGCCTAGAGCACTGGGCATAGTGTCTTCCCCCATGCCCACCTCATAATATCTCATTCTGTCCCTCCATAGTGCGTGTGATCTGTATGTGGTGTGTGCCGGCTGTGTGTGATCTGTATGTGGTGTGTGCCGGCTGTTTGTGATCTGTATTTTGTGATGTGTGTGTATCTGACTGCCCAGTGCTGGAAAAAAGGTTTATTTTTAAAGAGAGGCCTTAATTTGAAAGACCTCAAAACCCCCAAAAGCTTTCAATTAAAAAATAATACATTTTCTTGCAATATTAGTGAGTTCCTTTAAAGGAACACTATAGTCACCTAAATTACTTTAGCTAAATAAAGCAGTTTTAGTGTATAGATCATTCCCCTGAAATTTCACTGCTCAATTCACTGTCATTTAGGAGTTAAATCACTTTGTTTCTGTTTATGCAGCCCTGGCCTCACCTGCCCTGGCTATGATTGACAGAGCCTGCATGAAAAAAAAAAACTGGTTTCACTTTCAAACAGATGTAATTTACCTTAAATAATTGTATATCAATCTCTAAATTGAACTTCAATCACATACAGGAGGCTCTTGCAGGGTCTAGCAAGCTATTAACATAGCAGGGGATATGAAAATCTTAATTAAACAGAACTTGCAATAAATAAAGCCTAAATAGGGCTCTCTTTACAGGAAGTGTTTATGGAAGGCTGTGCAAGTCACATGCAGGGAGGTGTGACTAGGGTTCATAAACAAAGGGATTTAACTCCTAAATGGCAGAGGATTGAGCAGTGAGACCGCAGGGGCATGTTTTATACACCAAAACTGCTTCATTAAGCTAAAGTTGTTCAGGTGACTATAGTGTCCCTTTAATGCCTATTTTGGAATGAAGCACACATTTTATGGATATGATTTTTTATATTAAATGGTTGTTTATATTGATTGCTGCAACAAAGCGACTACAGACTCATTACCTGCTGCAGGGTGATAGGGCACAGCAAGCTCTCCGTATCGGTACCAAACATGCGGTCCAACCAGCTGATTCCGCCTGAGTGACCTCTGCAGCCTACAAGCCTGGCTGGATTGGGAGAGGCACACAGCAGCGATGACAAGCAAGGAACCCCATTTCCCCCCATGGACCAGCGAGGGTTATCCTGGTCTCCACCGACCTGAAACACGCTCCTTCGTCGAAGCCTACCTCCCACGATGGTCCACAACCAGTACGAGGCGGGCCTAGCAGCAAGGCCTTACTGCCTCTGGCACCTGCGCATGTGAACCCCAGCGAGGCGGTGGTGGAGCGCTCCCTCCGACGTCTTGATGAGACATTTCAGCGTTTCTGGGTCCGGCTGGAAAACCGGACACCACAGTCACCTATTACCATGAAGGAGGTGAAGAGGGCTGGTGATAGGGGGCCACGCGGGCCTCTCTCAGGCACAGAGCACAAGCCACTCCTGCTACTTCCCAACCTAGGCTGAAGGCCATGTGGAGGACACCTCCACGGCATCACCTATGACGCTGGAAGACTGCCCGCTGTCTTCCGCTGCCTCCGCTGTTTCATTGCCTAGCCTAGGCATTGGCTGACTGTGGACATTGAATGGATATTACCAGCTGCAGCCTTTCCTGCATAGCCACGTAGTGACTACCAAAATTCCGTTCCTTATACATGTGGATACTCAAAGTAGTCTTATTGTATTTTTTTTGTTTTATAGTTGAAGTTAACCTGCAAAGCTTTACATGTTCAGAAAGGGTGACAATTTGATGGGTCTTGGTGGCTTAATTAGCCTGCATAGCACATTTATCTCAAACACCAAGAATTATAAGAATGATTTGATATTTACCGAGCAGCACTCCTCCACTTATAACGCGCATGAGGTGAGCTACTATAGACCCAAGTAGCTTCGTTGGTGCAGTACAGGTACAGCCCGGGGAGTGCCCCAGCCATTGCACTGATTTAACATACTGCGCAGGCAAGCCTGGTCGTGTGGCAATGAGGAAGCTTAGCAGTGGTGGTACTCATTGATCTCAGTACACAGCGTTAGATAGGCATGACAGTCTCCAAGTACACAGGCCTCATAATATACTTGTCTGTCTCTCCAACCTTGACCCGGGTACTAAAGCTAGACCTTGGGAAACTAGCAAATAATCTCTTCCTACACTTGTGCAGACTGTACTATCTGACCTGATTTACCTTGTCTTTACTATTACCGCATGCGTCTACCGCCCAACTCACAGTATTCCTACTGACAACTACTTTATTTTATGTTATTTTATTTTGGACTCACTTTCAGGCACCCACTCATGCTAGTTACTCCGCTACTGTTTAGCATGAATTGTTTAGCCAGGCATATTTGTAGTTCTCAAAATTATTATACAAACAAAAAATGTGCTGTATACTCGACTGCCCTATACTGTTGAAATGTCTATACTAATAATCTTGCCACTGCTGTCGGGGCACTGCAAGAATGTTTGTTACTCTGCAGCGCGACAAAAATACAAATTTAGAAAAAAAAATGGTTGTTTATATCATATCTAGGGTTGATATATTAGGGACATTTTGAACCTACTAAGTGCAAGTTTTTATTAAACCATTATGTTTTAATTTGAAATTTATGTTTACCTTCTTTACTGAAGCCAAAGTCGGTAATTTTTGCGAAACCTTTCTCATCTAAAACTATATTATCCAACTTGAGGTCTCTAGATTAAAATGCAGAAAACAAACATTTATTCATATTACATAACACTAGAAGCACTTAGGTTAACTTTACAGGTTTCGGCTTATGAAATGATTAAAATGAATAACTTAATCTAGATAAAAAAACAGATCTAATTAGAAGAACACAAATATTATTAAGTGTTCTTGCATAGCAAGACCACTTAATGTTATCTCACATATATATTTTTATTCTTATTATAGCCAAATTTACCACCCTAACTCCTCCCACAGATTTTACACTACATAGACAGTAATATACCGAAACGTGCGGATTGTTCCCGATTGGTGTGTGATTACTTTGTGAAACGTTTCGCTGAATGGTTCACGAAATATCGTCGTTTTTGTGGCGAAATTGGTCCCATTGGCAGTTGGTGGAATGTTCGAGGGATTTAAAAGATTTGAAAGTTCTTCTCTGCCCTATTTGAAATTGTGACGGACCGCAGGCACTCCGACCGAGTACCTCCGCCAATCGATGCTCCTTGTGCTTGCCGAGGACTCCAAGCACTCCAACTGACACCATTCGCAGTGCAGACCCCACTTCCAGCGATGCAGCTGCGCCGGGGCCTCGCCGTCTCTCACCCACCCTGGATCCAAGGCCAGGATCATGCTTCCAGTGGGTGAATCTTTCCTAAATACAGAGAGCAGGAACCAGGAACAAGCTCTTACAGGAGCTCATACTTAGGGGAGTATTGTGATATAGCAATCCCCAAGAGTGTAGTTATCCCATCCCCCAAGCATGAGCCAAGGCTTCAAGAAAGGGTCAAGTAGTTCTCTCCAGGCACAAGCGGCGATGTTAATTTTGCCACACATCTTCCCTTTGGGGGGAAGAATAAACAGGTACCTGACCTTCTGTCGGTCAGTACTTAGGTTAGTCGGGCAGCCCACAAAGAAAAATCAACAGAGTAGCCCCCCCCCACAATAAACGGTACTGGCCTGTAGGTCCCAGGTTGTAGCGGGACAGTTCAGCATCCTCGGTCACCTTGGTGCAGCTAAGCAAACAGCTGGGGCTACTTGGGGGCAGAGGCCAGTGGCGCTCTGCCCTGATGCCAGCTCTTCCACTGGTATAGCCTGCAGGGTGTCCGGCTCTGAACAAGGGACAAGGGTAGGGCAGAGGCCAGTGGTACTCTGCCCAGGTGCCAGCTCTTCCACTGGGATAGCCTGCTGGGTGTCAGGCTCTGGGCAAGGTACAAGGGTAGGGCCGAGGCCAGCGGCACTCTGCTCAGGTGCCAGCTCTTCTGCTGGGAGGGGGTTATTGGGTATCGCAGGCTCATCCACTGCCCCCAGGATCCGGTCGGGATGTAGCTGGGGAGGGGGAGGCTTTTTTAAGGTTGGGGATCTGGACCGCCCGTCCAGCATCTCCGTAGGCCTGGCACAGAGACCACGGTCCCATCTGCGCCAGTGTGGTTAGGGTTGTTCTCCCCCTCTCCCAGTATCTTTGGCTTGGTTGCCTCCACTCCCCAGGACGCTGGTTGCTGTACGGTGGAGGGATCGACCATCTCCTCCTCCTGGAACTCAGGCCATCGCTGGGGAGGGAGACCGGTTGTCTCCTCTCCCGGTGAGATGCACTGCCGCTGGGGATCTGGGCTGGGTGCCCAGCATCCCTGTAGGGCCGGTAGAGAGACCTCAGTCCCATCTCCACCTGCCATTTGGGGCTTCTCCCAGGACCAGTCTATGAGGTCCACTACCTCAGGTACCTCTGGCTGTTGGGGGAGAGGGAGGCTGGTTACCTCCCCTCCCCAGGACGCTGGTTGCTGTAAGGTGGAGGGTCCGACCATCACCACCTCCTGGAACTCAGGCTGTCGCTGGGGAGAGAGACTGGTTGTCTCCTCTCCCTTCAAAGAATACTGCCGCTGGGGAGCAGGACCGTCTATCCCTACTCCTGGTAGTATACTTGCTTGTTGTGCTAAGCTGAACAGATGTTGGTAGCTCTGCTCCAGCTCCCACTTCATTGTGAATAGATGAATCAGGTCTGGCCCCAGGTCGTCCGCTTGGGGAAGATCCAGTATGGTTTCCCTGAGGTTGTTGATGTCCCAGATCCGACATTCTGTGGGGCAACCAAAGTCACCGCCCTCCTCAAAGGCCTCCCACAGTAAGCCCGGGCCAGTATAATCCTCTCCCTCCGGCAGATAGTGGTTAGTCATCCAGGGGTTGCGCTGGGTGGCGTGCCACTTTAATGCCCGGTAAGCTGCATCCAGCCACAACTCCTTTCAAATTAAATCACCCACTCATCCAGGGGTTGCTCTCCTAGGAAAGGTCTCCGCAGGGCCACGAGTACCTAGAACCACTGCTCGTCACTGGGAAGGCTCTCTCCCCGCCGCCGCTGTACCTCTTCCAGGGCATCGTACCACAACTCCTTACGAGTGGCATCTCTCCAGTCCAGAATGCACTCCTCTGATAAAGGCCCATCCTGTTGGGCCAAGTGCTGCTGCAACCTCTAACTCCTCTTCCATGTTCCGGTAGCTAGCTCTATCCCTTGAGTTCCTCCGAAGCCAGGGTCACTGCCCTCCATTCACTATACACTAGTGCCTTCCTTGAATCCTCTGTGCAGGGAAAAAGAAGGGAAAATCCAGCCGCTTGCCACCAGTTGTGACGGACCGCTGGCACTCCGACTGAGTACCTCCGCCAATCGATGCTCCTAGTGCTTGCCGAGGACTCCAAGCACTCCAACCGACACCATCCGCACTGCAGACCCCACTTCCAGCGATGCAGCTGCACCGGGGTCTCCCCATCTCTCACCCACCCTGCATCCAAGGCCAGGATCGGATCCAACTTCCCGTGGTTGAACCTCTCCTAAATCCAGAGAGCAGGAACCAGGAACAAGCTCTTACAGGAGCTTATTCTCAGGGGAGTATTGTGATATAGCAATCCCCAAGAGTGTAGTTATCCCATCCCCCAAGCATGAGCCAAGGCTTCAAGAAAGGGTCAAGTAGTTCTCTCCAGGCACAAGTGGCGATGTTAATTTCGCCACAGAAATCTATTAGTTCCTGTTGGCAGTTGGTGGAATGTTCGAGGGATTTGAAAGATTTGAAAGCTCTTCTCTGCCCTGTTTGAAATCTATTAGTTCCTGTTGGCAGTTGGTGGAATGTTCGAGGGATTTGAAAGCTCTTCTCTGCCCTATTTGAAATCTATTAGTTTCTGTTGGCAGTTGGTGGAATGTTCGAGGGATTTGAAAGCTCTTCTCTGCCCTATTTGAAATCTATTCGTTCCTGTTGGCAGTTGGTGGAATGTTCGAGGGATTTGAAAGCTCTTCTCTGCCCTTGCTGTAGAGTGAGTGAACCACACTCCAACCTTTCCACAGTTACTCCAGCCTCTCCAACCACACAAGTTACTCAAGCCACTCCACCCAGTTACTCCGCCCACTACAGTTGTAGACTACTGGTGGAGGCAAGAACACTTCACACAATTTCCCCAGAAATTGTAGCTTTTCTAGTTATTATTTTATTATTTATATAGCGCCATCAGATTCCATAGCGCTGTACAATGGGTGGACTAACAGACATGTAATTGTAACCAGACAACTGGACGTACAGGAACAGAGAGGTGGAGAGCCCTGCTCAATGAGATTACATTCTAGAGGGATATCACTGATAGTCCATGTATACATTTTTGTACTAACTTACCTGTGTACGATCTTCTGCTGATGTAAAAACTCCAATCCAAGAACAGTACAGGCTGCATAAAACCTGGGGGGGGGGGGGAAATCGATTAATCCAATGCTTTCTAGACAATGCTGTGTTTGTAATATTAAATGGTTTTATTCCATGTAATCCAAGTCACTCTGAGCTCTGACATATTACAACAATTCCCAGCTTTCCTTCTTCTCTGTCACTGACGGTGGGTTTATGAGGTGAAACAATGGGGATTGGTAGTTTATTTACAATTTATTGGTTCCATTCACCAAAGCCGATGCTTCCAGAATCGTTAGCTATAGGTAGCACACACAGTGGTTTATATGGCCAGATGTAACCGCACTGATAAAGTATTGGACACATACAGTAATCAGATATATAGCAGCTTATGGGATATACATCAATGTTTACAGTTTGAGGTTGTTTATTAATGGTCAATCATATTAATGTGCATTGTAAAACCCATGGTGGTATCTTTCCTATTTCTCCGTTGTAATTCATTACTTGGGGTTCTAAGTCAACACCTATTTGAAACTGCGAGCGTCTTCGATAAAGATTGCGTGAAATTCTGGTTTAATGATGTTGTTACTGTTTTAATGTAACGGGCATTGTTTTTGCTAATTGTTTTATCTTCTTTTTACTCTTCTAAAGAAAAAAAACTGAATTTAAAAACATAATAAACAGAATAAAAAAAACCCCCACAGTGGATCCCATGTTGTGTGACATCCCTGGTATAATCAGTTATAAGTAACTAGGATTATTAGAATTTGTAGCCCGTCTGCAGAACATTGGATTAGACCAGCTGCTTATACTCACACAGCTCTGGGTTCCGGAAATGGACTGTCGTTGTTGTTGATAAAGTTTGTATGTAGGTCGCCCCCAGCCGCGTATTCCATCACAAAACATACGTGATCTAGCGTGTGGAAACACCCAAACAAGTTAACCAGAAATGGGTGCTGTCTGTTACTCACAGTTTGGAAAATGCGCTTTTCGCTCAGAATGCTGGAAAGGATAAATAAAAAAGTTCAAAATTACTTTCCTCCACTCTCCAAAACCAAACAAAGACAGAAAACAGAACCTCTTCCTCCCAAAAAACAAGGTAGTAATTGTTCTTCGTTTACTGACCGCTGGGATACATGTTGTGATACTATCTGTTCTTTCTTTAGGACTTTCAGAGCGTACATATTGTTGGTATCCTTGTACTTAGCCAAAAGAACCTGAAATTACAGAATAAAGTGTTGTCCTGCACTGCATCTGTTAAAACACCGAGCATAGCAAACTAGAATAGCAATTCCACCTTAAACTTACTTTTCCAAAGCCCCCTTTACCCAGCACAGAGCTGAGATGGAAGTCCTGAAAGCTGAGACGAAGCCGGTTACTGCCAAGGAAGGAACACATTTAAAAATGGTTTAAAATGACCCACACACCACACACAGTAAAACAAAGACTTTTAACACAACATATAGCAGGTTAGTCGTCATACCATAGGTCATCAGGCGTACTTGCTCCTTCTGAAAAAACAAACAAACAAAATTTACAAGTTTCAGTAGACAGAATCAGCCCCAAAAATAAAAAGGTGACATTAAAATGTGCAGATAAAACTATTACAGTTGACCCGATCCCTGATAGCAATACATCAAGAGGGGAGTATAGGACCATTGAAGGAAAAGGTAAGTGCAAAGTAAACAACAAAAAACCCTGGAGATAAAAGTCCCCCCGTGCGTGATGACATCACAAGGGGGACGCCATGTACATGGCTTTGCTTGGGGAGTGCGCCTCATGAAACCATCCACTAACTATTCCAGTTTCTTATCGATGTTAGTGAGATAGACTTGGTAATCACTGGACACACAATGGACAATAGAGTCTATCTCTATTTATTTAACATACAAACCAACAAAGCGGTGGGGTCATTATATAACTTATGCAGCTTTCTGTGCTTCCACAAAGGAAAGGATTAGTTTTGGAAATGTTCGATTCTCCCACAGAAAATAATGGAATCACAAGGATAGGTGAGAGATTTCATGTATTGTCATAGCTCACAGTAGAAGCTGCAAGTCCTGGTGATTTGCAAGAAGTAAAGAAGCTTCAAAAATGAGCTCCCAAGAGAAACCGCCTCCCTAGTCTTTTAATAAAGGGAAACTTTGCCAAAGCACAGGAGTTTGTCATTCACGTCCAATCATATACCCAGCCATTTCTGTATCATGACGGCTGTTAAGAAAGGGCTGTGGCAGCATCCAGCGGTTTAACTACACAGTTCATGAATCTTAGTCGTAGTTGTGGTGGGAAAAATAATTAATAGATGGATGCAACACTTGCCCATAGCCATTTTAAATTGATTTGTTCATGATTTATGCCACTTACTGCAGAGTAATATCGGAACGAGATTTTTCCAGACATAATTGTAGTGAATTGGAAGATATATATATATATATATATATATATAATTTTTTTTTTCATTGTTTGCATAGTTTGTTAAAAAATACAGCAAAAATATCACTTTCTAAAATAGGAAAAGAAAAATACTCTATGTGTGACTAAGTTAAGGTCTTGCTGTTGTTGTTAATGGTAGCTCGGCTCCAGACTGCGTAGGCTGGCGATCTCAGAGTTTCTGCTGGTTTCAGTCATTTATTAAGGCCAAAATCATGCTGTATAAGTAAATAAAGAAGCACAGAAGATGGAACCCAAGTTTGATCATGGCTTCCTTCATGTGTGACTTGATCTGCCCCCTGTTGTCAATCTCTGTTGGATTAAATACTCTGAGGTTTCTGCTTGGCACCATGATAAACCGATAAATATTCCATGTGGCTACCGGTAAATTAAAGATAAAGATGGTCCAATGCAACGATACAAGCATCAAAGCAGTCACCAGCACATGGCATATCAGCTCTGGGCGCACCCACTTGTTTAGCTTGGAGCAACATAACTGGGAATTGATGTGGTCACATTCTTTTCAAATAATTTTTATTAAAGTTTTTTTGTATAACAAATGATAATAATACAAACATTGTATTAGGGGTAGGAAAGGAGGGGTAACATGGAAATGGGAAGGGGTATCCATCCATCAATGAAATAAACATATTAAAGTATACGGCAAAAAGAAAAATGTTTTACAACAATGCACTTTAACAATAAATATATCAAAGACCATAAATTGTTTTGATTTTTTTTTTTTTAAATTTGACAATTTTTATTGTTTCGTGCGGTGGGGGTACAGAAAGGAAGAAGGAGGGAGGGTAGGGGGGGAAGGGTGGACAGATTTCATCAATACATATTAACATATTAACAACTCTCATTCAGTTGACCATGAGTATTCAGGCTACTTATACCGTTCGTAGACGGTTTGTGACCAGAAACCTTGTCTTGCACCTTTTGTGTGTCAGAGCGGGATGGGTGTGCTCCCCACTCGATCCCTTATGGGAACTAACAGGAGGGGTCTCATCCTCGCTCTCTATTCTCGCACCTCTTGCGCTGTTTCCCACTGATGTGCGAGGCGCTTCTGCTTTTATGTGGTTTGTACATACAGTATCATTGGTAGGTTACATTTACGTTTCTCTATCACCCGATCTCCATGAGTTCCACATCTCCCATGCTGCTTGTGTGGTGTTGGATGGGGGGAACAATGTTTTGAAGCTCGTTTCGAACGTTCTTTGTGTGTCCAGGTCCTCAATGACCCGTTTCATACCAGGGGTATTTGTTTGTTTCCAGTGTTGAGCAATTAAGCGCTGTGCTGTCAACATTATATGTAACAGGAGTTTTTGCTTGGCTCTTGGTAAGCTTTTTGGGAGGTCGGTTATTAACATCTGGCGGGGCGCAAAAGGAATGGAGCAGCCAGCCGCCGCTTGTGCAATTTTATGGATCCCCGCCCAGAAAGTCTGGATGCGGGGGCACGTCCACCAGACGTGCAGGACCGTGCCCTCAGCCTCATTGCAGCGCCAGCATGTGTTAGAAGTGGCAGGAAATAGTTTGTGCAGCCTGCACGGTACCATGTACCATCTATATAATGTTTTATGGCTTTGCTCCAGATGGGCGGCTGATTTGATCAGGAGCCTGGGCAAACGGAATATGCGCTCCCAGTCTTTTCTCAGGAGGGAGCAGTTTAGGTCCGCTTCCCACATTTGCGCTGTTTTTGAGGCAGCGAAGGGTAGATGGCGTGACAGGAGCTTGTAACTCATGGAGATCGGTTTACATGCAATGGGTAGTAGTCCCTTAATAAGCATTAATTCCCACCCCGTTGGGGTTTCTGGGGTCAAATTGGACCCAGCATCTCTACAGTAGTGTTTGGTCAGAAACGACCGTAGTTGGATATAGGAGTAGTGTGAAGTGGGAGGCAGTGAGTATCGGATTTGCATCTCTTCAAAGCTAAGCATTTTGCCCTGATTGTACAGATGCGTCAGGTGGGTGACACCCCGGGTCTGCCATGGTATGGCGTGGAAAGTGGGGATGCAATATGTGAAAGACTTTATCGGTGTTGCCAGGGAGAACCCCTTGTGGCCGCTAAACAGTGTCGCATTTTTGTCCCAGAGCCGTAAAAGTAAAGTAGTCGAGTGTGGTGCTAGGGGCCATTGCGGTCTGTACTTTTTTGGTATCCATATCACATCGGCCAGTGTGTGTGGGGCCACCAACTCTCGTTCTAGGAGTACCCACTGCGGTGGTGGTGTCTGGAGGAAATGTGGGAGGGCAGTGGCGATAACAGTTGCGTGGTAATACGTGTGTACATTAGGCAGTGCTAGGCCACCGTCTCGTTTGGGTGCGTTTAGTAAATTCTGTGCCACTCTGGGTTTGCTCCCCTTCCATACAAATTGATTTATGTCTGATTGGACCGTTTTGAGGAAGGATCTGGGGAGTTCTATTGGTAGGGTACGGAACAGGTAGAGCAACCTAGGGAGGATTGACATTTTGATCGTTATAATTCTTTCGGTCCAAGACAGATATAGTGGCGACCATTTTTTGAGCAAGTTACGGCAGTTGTTCCATGTGGACACATAGTTTGCCGCGAATAGTGCAGTGTGGGCCTTCGTGTATGTAATCCCTAGATATGTGATAGTATCAGACCTCCATTCGAACGTATATTCCCGTTGGAGTTGTGTGGTAAGTTTGGTCGGTAGGGATATGCCTAGTGCTTGGGTCTTGGATGTATTGAGGGAGTAATAGGACACCCTCCCATATTCCTTTATCAGTTGCATAACTGCTGGGAGTGTGGTGTGGAGATGTGTCAGGTAGAGTAGAATGTCATCTGCAAAAGCTCCTACCTTAACCACTTTGTGGCCTATCCTAACCCCCTGGATTTCCTCATTTGCTCTGATCTCTTCCAACAAAGGTTCTAGGGCCAGGACGTATAGCAATGGGGAGAGTGGGCACCCTTGCCTCGTCCCATTTGTGATCTGAAAGGGAGAGGAGAGGAATCCCGACTGGAGCACTTGCGCCGAAGGATTCGCATAGAGTGCGAATATTTGTCGGCACACCTGGAGCGGGACTCCATATGCCTCCAATACTCCTTGGAGGAAGGGCCAGCCCAGGCGGTCGAACGCCTTTTCGGCATCCAGCGCTAGCAGGAGACTGCCCTCTCTGGCCCCCCTGAGCTGCTGGAGGACCACCGACAGTTTCCGAGTGTTGTCCAGGCCTTGTCTACCTTTTACGAAGCCTGTTTGGTCGTCTTTGATAAGGGAGGGTAGTATGGGGGCAAACCGGTTTGCCAGGATTTTTGCATACAGTTTAGCATCTGTGTTGAGCAGGGAGATGGGGTGGAAGTTTTTGCATTGGTCAGTCGGTTTTCCGGGTTTCGGCAGAGTCACTATAGTGGCCCGCAGCATTTCTGCCGGCAGTGCTCCCCTCTCCATTGCCTGATGGAAGGTTTCCAGCAGGTGTGGTGCCAATGTTTGGGCATACTTTTTGTAATAGAGGTTTGAGAGCCCATCTGCTCCGGGGGACTTGCCATTCGGTAACTCTTTGATAGTGTCTAATATCTCTTTCACTGTGAGGGGGCATGTCAGGGTTTCGACTTGGCTACTCGATAGTTGGGGCAGTTTGATGCGGGCAAGAAATGTTTTTACCTCATCTACAGTGGGGGTATGTGTATCGGGGTCGTCCCTCAAGTTATACAATTTGGAATAGAATGTGGCGAACGCGTCACCAATCTCTTGGGGTCCTAGCCTTTTTGTCCCATCTTCCCCCATTATGTGCGCTATCCTATTAGTTGCCAGTTTGTCTCGCAGTCTTGCTGCCAGGTACTTGTTGGCTTTCCCCCCCGAGTGATAGGTAGTCGCTTTCAGTCTGTTTAATAAGTACTCAGTTTTCGTTGCGTTTAGTGCATGTAGTTTACGGTAGGTCTGCTGGAGTTCCGCAGCCAGAACCTTATTTGGGTTGGTTTTATTTCTAGCTGTCAGTGTTGCTATTTGTTCGTGACATCGGAGTAGATCTTCCTGTCTCTGTCTTTTTAGGTGTGCGGCTCTCTTAATGAATAGGCCTCGGATAACCGCTTTATGTGCTAGCCAAACCGAGGTTTCTGATACCTCTCCCCCACTATTCAGACGGAAGAAGTGTTCTAGTTCGTCATTTATAAGTGTAGCAAAGGAGTCGTCAGATAGTAGCGACTCATTGAGCCTCCAGTTCCCTCGTCCCTTGAATTGGAACGCGTCGTGTAGCGTGAGATAAATTGGGCTGTGGTCTGACCAAGCAAATGAGCCTATTTTACAATCCGCCATTTGGGCCAGAGACCTGCTATCTACTAGGAATGTGTCGATGCGGGAATAGGTGTTATGCACCGCGGAGTGGAACGTGTAGTCCCTCTCCGTGGGGTGTGTGACCCTCCAGCCATCGTACAGGCCGTGTTTTGAGATCAGGGTGGTGAGCCTTTTGCATGTGTTGGATAGGCGTCTACCCCTATTACGGGATGGTGTAGCTGATGTGTCCAGTTGTGGTGACTGGATGAAGTTAAAATCCCCGCACAGAATCAGGCCTCCCTGTCGGTGGTCCTCCACAGTCTGGAGAAGTTTGTTTAAGAAATTTGTCGAGTCGGAGTTGGGAAAATAGGCCGTAACTAGTGTGTATTGTGTGGCATTAAAAAGGCCCACTAATATAATAAACCTCCCTTGCGGGTCAATGTATTGGCTTTGGACCTCCAGAGCTATGTCTCTGCTGATGAGGATTGACACCCCTTTTGTTTTGTTGGCCGACCGGGCGTGGAATTGAGTAGGATAGTGTTTAGCGTATAACTTTGGTTCCGTGGAGGACTTAAAGTGAGTTTCCTGGATGCACGCTATATCTATATGTTGTTGTCTGAGCGTCTGAAATAGTAGGCTTCTTTTAGTCGGGGAGTTAAGCCCCTTCACGTTATAGGAGACTATTTTCATAATAGAGTGTTAGATTTTGAGCGTGTGGTGACTCCTGGCTCCCATAGTGAGAGCACCTATGTAGACGTGTGATGGACAGCATGCAGTACATATTATCACAGTACATATCAATAAGAGTTGTGGTGAGGAACACAGTGTTGTAGTTGATCGAAATCCAACTTGGTGGGGGGAGGGGGGTGGGGGTAGAAAAAACAAGGGGGAACATTTAAGAACAAGTTACAAAGAGCTCAAGTCTCTTGAGCTGTAATGTGCTCAGTAAAACTGGGCACAAGTAGTGGGTGACGTGGCTATAGGTCAGTTTGATGTGGTATTGACCTAGATTGGGGGAGGTGATAAGGAGTCGCTCAGAGGGGACCATGGAGTGGTAGTGGCATGGGAGTATTGGGTTGTGAGAGACTCTGCTGCAGGATGCTCAACCACTTTGTGTCAATGCCCTACTCTGTCTGTGCTCTGTTAACCGGAGCAGGTGTGGAGTTTTGGGGTATGAATGCTATTGGGCAGCGCCTATTCTAGCCGTCAACTAAATGCTGCTGCGGTGTTATGCATAGTAAGTGGTGCACACAACATTAAGCATTATACAAGCCTATTTCAGGGTAGCAAATGAGCGATGACACAGCATTAAAATTGAAATGGTTAGTAAAACAGTGGTCAGCAATCATGCAGCGTATACTCAGCCTTCACGTTAGGCTCTGGACCAGTCCACCGACAGTCTTGGTATCTTTTTCGCGGGTTGCACCGGTACATCCGGTTTGGGGAGCCCCCAGTCTTCCAGCTTCTTCAATCCTTCCTCCATTGACGTGATAGGGTGGTTGGAGTTGTCGTGATGGACGATAAGTTTCGCTGGGAAGCCCCACCGATACGGAACCTCCTGCGCTCTCAGTGCGGTGGTGATAGGAGCGAGTGACTTGCGGAATTGGAGTGTGTGCGCTGACAAGTCCGCGAAAATCTTCAGGTTTTCATATTGGGAGGGTAGGTTATCTTTTCTAGCTGCTTTAACAATCTTCTCCTTGATGTGGAAGAAATGCACTCTGGTGATTACATCTCTGGCCGTTGAAGTAGGCAGATGCTGGGGTCTCCTGAGTCTGTGCGTTCTATCCAGAACTACTTGATCTGGGTGGACCTCTGGAATCAGCTCTAGAAAAAAGGCCTGGAGGTAACTGTGTAGGGCTTCATTTGTGATTGATTCAGGAATACCTCTGATGCGCAGATTATTCCTCCTAGATCTATCCTCCAGGTCAGCAAGTTTCAGGTTTTGTTCTTGGATTAGTTGCTGCATCTGGCATAGCTGGTCAGCCATGTTGTTGTGCGCGGAGGCATGTTTGCTGACTGCATTCTCTATATGTGATGTGCGTAGGCCCAGGTCCTGTATATCTCTCTTAAGCTCACCTGCTAGTGATTTGAGCTGCCCCTCGATGGTGCTTTGGATCTGCATTGTGAAGTCTGCCATAAAGGACTTCATTGTGGCCAGTGTGAGGGGACTGTCCTCCAGTAGTGAGGTGGGTGAGGAGGGAGGAGATGGAGAAACTTCCCTGGATCCGTGGCCGCCGCCATCTTGGATTTCCTCGCGGCCTTGTTTCCCATGCGCGGCTTTTGCCATGAAGAATAGTGTTTTGTCGGCTTTCGCCGGTCTTTTGGCGGATCTGTGGGACATAGCTCCGTTTTCCTCTCGGTTCGTGCCGAGATTAATTGTTGCAGCCCGGTTATTTTTTCCCCTGTATCCTGCGGCTCCCCGGAGCTCTAGCAGAGCACGTCCATGCGGCTCGGATGCTAGGCCACGCCCCAATTGTTTTGATTTTTTCCTCCCATTTATCCCAGTTGTATTTTAGTATTGGGAAACCATGCATATTGGCTCTGTGTGATAATTCATGTGCCTTATTTTCTAAAATCAAATTAAAAACTTCTCTGAGAGATGGCACATTTTGAGACTTCCAATGTCTAGGTAAACAGGATGTAGCAGCGATCAGAATGTGGCCTATGATTATTTTATCTGATCTATTAACAGACTCCGGGAGTTTTTTAAATAAGGCTAGTTCCGAGGTTAAGATACTAATGGTTCCGTTCACTTTAATAATCAGATCGTGGATCATTTTCCAATAATTAATTAACTTGGGGCAGAACCACCAGATATGGGCCATATTGCCCACTCCCCCACAGTCTCTCCAACACCGGTCCGAATACATATTATTCATGTTATGTAATCTAGACGGAGCCAGGTACCAGCGATATAAGATTTTATAATGATTTTCAAAATGGTCGGTGCAATATGAAATACCTTTTAAACCTGTAAAGAAACCGAACCATTCTTCTAAATCGTACTGGGCACCCAACTCCGTCTCCCATGACAGCATATGTTTTAATTTAATTAAGGGCTTGGCATTATGAGATAAGTAACATAAGGATATCATACCTTTACTAGCGGGGCTGTATAAAATAACTTTCTCTAAAGGAGATATCTCAAGTGATTTATAGTTTTTATCTGTTTCAGGTACCTGGTATAGTTCTTTCAATTTATCAATGATTATCATACATTCCAGTTCACATGCATTCGACAATCCATACTTAAGCTTCAATTTTTCCAAAGAAAGAATAGCATTGTCATAAAACAAATTGTCCAGATTAGTTATAGAGCAATCCTTCAATAATTCTATTTTTAAGGATGGTATATGATCTTTCAATAATTCAATAGGCATTGCTCTATATAAACTGGGAGACTGGTCATTTTTAAAAACAATGTCCCATTGTTGTCCCATCAACAATTTTGTAATTCCAGGTCTTTTCTTAGGATTTAACCAAGGTAATTCTAATAGTCTAACCGGTGAAATTTTTGATTCCTCTATCTCCATCCATCTGGGTTTATCATCCTGGTTGTTAAAGCTCACAACCACTGCAGCGTTAGTGGCAAAATAATATTTGCGGATATCGGGGACACCGATACCGCTGTTCGATTTATGGTGCTGCAGGGAAGTGAGCCTCACTTGGGCAGGCTTGTTCCCCCATATAAATTTCAACATTGTCGAATGAACTTTATTAAAAAATGATAATGGAATGGACAGAGGAATGGTCCTAAAAAAATATAAAATTTTGGGGAGTATCGTCATTTTAATAGATGCGACCCTCCCCAGCCATGAGAGCTCCATCCCACCCCATCTCTCCATCTCTTTTTGTAGGTCTGACCATGCTTTCCTCAGGTTGTGATTGTGCATATTGACCAAATTTTTGCATAAATTAATGCCAAGATATTCCATATATTCAGTTCTCCAATCAAATAAATATGATTTCTTAAGGTCAATGGTTTCCAAATTGTTTAAATGAAACGGAAGGGCTTGAGTTTTGGACTCATTTAATTTGTAATACGATATCTCACCGAATTGAGTTAAAATATCCTTGAGGTGTCTCAAAGATTCTTTTGGGTTTTTGATAGCTAGGATTATATCATCTGCAAACAAACCAATTTTGTGAACGGATTCTTTAACCGCAATTCCTACAATTTGTGGGGTTGTCCTAATCAGTTCTGCCAGGGGTTCTATCGCTAAAACAAACAAAATTGGAGATAAAGGGCACCCCTGTCTCGTCCCGTTGGTTAGGGAAAAAGTTTTGGATGTGAAGCCAGAAGCTGAGACATGGGCGGAGGGTGCGCAATATAACGCCTTAATTGCTGTGATAAATGATGATGGTATGTTGAACCTATCTAATGTTCTCCATAAATATCCCCAATGTATCCTGTCAAACGCTTTTTCTGCGTCTAGAGATAGAAGCAAAGAAGGCGTTTTGGTCATATTGATGTGCTGAATCAAGTTTATGAATCTTCTAGTTCCGTCTGGCGCCTGTCTATTCTGCACAAAACCTACTTGATCTTTATTAATTAACAATGGGATTAGTTTGGTTAATCTATTAGCGAGAACTTTAGAATAAATCTTTGAATCATTATTAATCAGAGAAATGGGCCTAAAGTTAGGGCATCTATCGGGAGTTTTCCCCGGCTTTGGCAAAGTGACTATTCGTGCGCACAAGGACTCCTCTGGCATCTTTCCCTCGGACTTATAGGAATTGAACAATTTAGTCATATGGGGAATTAAAATTTCTGGAAAAGTTTTATAATATAAAATAGTTAATCCGTCGGGACCAGGGGCTTTTCCAGATGGCATAAGTTTAATTGCCTCAGCTATCTCTGCTGCTGATATTTCACATTCTAAGCTTTCTAAATGTACTGGAGACAGCCGAGGCAATGACACTCTGTCTAAGAATTTATCAATTATTGTTGTAGAAGGCTGGGGGAGGTCCAAATTACATTCTAAATTATAAAGTTTACTATAATACTCTGCGAACATATCGCTAATTTTAGTTGGATGAAACACTTTTTGCCCCTGATCATCAAGTAAATATGCTATTTTTGATTGGGCATTCACATGCCGGAGTTTGGATGCCAAAAGAGTTGAGGCCCTGTTACCTTTTAAGTAAAATGTTTTCCTGAGACGTCTCACCATGAGAGATGTACGATCTAAATTAATTTTGTTGATTTTAGCCTTAATTTCTCCTATCATTGCTGATAGGGAGGACGATGGACCAAATTTATTAGCTTGGTTCAAATTATACAGTTCTTTTTCCAATGTTCTTAAATTATTGCTATTAATTCTCTTCAGGTAAGACGCTCTAGAAATAAAATGACCTCTTAACACAGCCTTATGCGCATTCCAAGTCACCTCGCCAGGAACCTCGGACGAGGCATTCTCCGAAAAATAATCACACAAAGCTTTCTCCGTCAGTGACTTGTTCACAACATCATTTAACAAATAATCACCTAGTTTCCAAGTTCTGTTAGGGGCTGATGAAACAATTTCGTCAATATGCATTATGATTGGAGCATGGTCGGACCAGTTGATGTTTAAGATATCAGATTTCAAGATGTGCGGAATTAAAGCACCCTGGACCATAAACCGGTCCAGCCTGGAATACATATTTTTAGAGACAGAATAATACGTAAAATCTCTTTCATTCTCATGCAACAGTCTCCAAGGATCGTATAAGCCACATTCAATCATATATCTGGAGCATTTATACGCTAATCTGTCACTGTCCCCTCTAAGCTGTCGATCACGGTCTTCCCTAGCGTTATCCAACTCTCCATCCATCACAAAATTCGTGTCACCACACATTACCAAGTTGCCTCTCACATTCTCATTCACTAAGTCCATCAATTTCCTAAAAAACTGCAACTGACCGGTGTTTGGAAAATACATGTTCACAATAGTATATTCAATAGTATTGAGTGATCCTATCCATATTAAATACCTCCCGTCATCATCCGTTATAACTTTGTTTGTCAAGCATGCTACATTCCTGTGAAAAAAAATCGATGTACCTCTAGACTTGGATTTATAAGTGCAATGGTATTGAACTGGGAAAAGCTTTGACATGATTTTATGGTCTTTATCATCGGCAAGTGCTAATCCTGTCTGTATATAGGTATTTCCCACAGTCTCCTCATTGTGCGGCACGAGATTGCCGTAGACTATGGGTGATTGCTAGTCCTGTCTGTAAAAAGGTCTCTCCTGTAGTCTCCTGACTAAGCAGCAAATTGGGTCTACGTGACCTATAGGCAGACATCCCAACTTGCAAAAATGCATTTCAGGGAGGTGGCTTCACCAGCTACAGCGCCACCCCCTCCACCTCCCTCCACCCCGCCCACGCGTGCACACACTTCCCCCAAACAGATACACGCACTGGCACATATGCACTCAGATACACACATTGAAACATACACTCAGATATGCACACTGATATATACACACGGATACACACAGTGACACATATACTCAGATACATACACAGATACACACATACACACACTAGCACACAGATACACACAATGACACATACACTCAGATACACACACTGATATACACATACTGGCACATACACACACTGACACAAACATTCAGATACAGATACACACACTGACAGATACACACACACTGACACAGATACACACACTGACAGATACACACACACACTGACACAAACACATAGATACACACACTGACAGATACACACACACACACATTGACACAAACACTCAGATACACTCCTGTTAGCTTACCTTTGTCTCCTGGAGGATGGCTTGCTTGATGCTCTGGTCCTTGCTGAGGCTGATGGGAGTGAGCATGTAGTGGCAACTCAAGCCTCTCTTCTCCCTCCATGCTGATGTGTTGCTCTGCAGACTCCATGCTGCCTCCTCCCTCCAGTCCTCCTGTGCGGCTCTCTGTGAGGCTGCCATCACTTCCTCACTGCTGGCTGATAGTCCGCTCTTAAAGTGCCGGCACCACATGGGGCCCTGTGAAACCTATATATACATTGTATTTTAGATTGTATGTGTGATTTCCGGGATATTATACATGATATGAGGGTGTCAGGGAGCAGAATGCAGAATGAGGGAGTCTCCTGGAACTAGCGGGAGACTTGGGATATCTGTATAGGCAATGTCCATCACGCCCTGTATGTAGGAATCTTCTGCTGCTCCCCTTAAAGCACGAAACCTTGTACATTGCACGGGTGGTTTCTAACACCATAGATCAGTGTGATGTTACCTATATAGCCACTATTAATTATAGATGGTATGGACAAAGCTGCATTTCCCCTGATTTCTGTCTTATA